TGCCGCCGGTGCCAGCACCCCGCTTGGTGCCGCCGCGCTGTGTACCTTGGAACCAGCCAGCGCTTCATTGTGATTTTTGGCCACTCAGAACGTTTTTAGCAATTTGCCAAGGTTTATCCTGTGATTTATTATGGAGGAAACAAACTCAAGCACTAACAAATGAAAATATGTAAACGCAGCTTCTCGAGGCAATAGAAAGGTATTCGGCTTCCCAAAGCCCTTTGGAGACGTGCAGTTCACTGCAGGTTCAGCTGCTGCAAACAAGTCTGGTTACGGGGCAACTGAAATGTCACCGAAGGAGTCGTATTTTAGTCTCTTAGACATTTACAGCAAAAAATTCCATACACACGGCACCTCCCAGCTGTCATTCCTAAACTCACGTTCTAGATTTGCTGGAAATTCAACAACCCAAAAATTCATCGGAAGTGTATTTCCTATCACTTTTTCGCTAAGGCCAAAGCACTCCAGGTATCTGCCATCTACAACTTTATTATCACAAATCACTATATTAAATAAGTAAAAATGCAGCAGCATGAAAACACACTTGAAATAATAAAATCCACAGGTAAACAAAAAAAAAAATCATTTAGAAAGCTTAAAGCACTGGAATTACCAGAGAGAGTGCTTTATACAGCGTTAGCAGCCACCACAGCACTGCCTAGAGTTCTAATCCTGAAGGAATTACCAATGAAATCGGTAGTGTTAGTTTGATACCGAGTATCATTGCTTCCTGAAAGTTTTCTGAATGTTTCTTACAAATTTTCTTGATCTCAGCCATAAGACTAACTGATAATTAAAATAAGCAAGAATATTAGTCATTAATGACTGGGAGTTAACATTGATTCTATCTAAAACAGAATATTGGAGGGTGGTTATTTCCTTCTAAGCTGTCGTACTCAAGAGATCAGCAGAGAATTCACTTCTTGTCTGCTCATCTCAACGCACGGTCTCCACTTTTACCAGCATGGCACCAGCCCAGCGAGCAGCAAGAACCCTCCGGTCCGTGCCTGTCACCACTGTGACTTGGCTGCTGGAACCAGGACACGCAGGCTTCATCACCTTTCCAGCTGAAGAGACACTATCTGTCCTTTCCTACAGAAAATACGTGAAACAAACCTGCTGCCAAACGACCAACCCCTGGGAGTTTTCCCCGCCTTGGACATGTCACTTGATGTTCAAACTGCTGTCACGCAAAGCCAACTAACTTGTACAAAGTCTTTTTTTTGGTTTGAGAAACCCAGCAGAGAGAACTTCACCAAGCGAGTCTTTGTTAGCATAACATCTGACCTTGTATCTCTCTGGAAATCACACAACTTTGCTAATGCAGCCCTTACAGAATTAATCAAGCAGATAGACCCTAGTTGCTACGAGCCCAGCCAATTATGAGCAGCACTGAAATTTGTCACTGGCATGTCCAACTACATTTTCCAACATAAAGATCAACAGAACCGTGTGGAAATGAGGCCCCGCTCTCAGACCTGCCTGACTTGGACACTGCAGGCTACAGGCACTCGCAAAGCCAACGCTTTTAGGAACTGCGTATTCTTAAGACAGAGAGACTCACCTCCCCGGGCTCTGTTACCTGCCACATTTTAACGCCTTTCGCCCTCTATTTTGATTAGCAAAGCTAGAATAAATGACTCGCTGAGGGTTCAGAGCTCTTTGCTTGCCTCTGCTCTGCTGCACAAGATCCGCAGCTCAACAAAGGCCAAACACCCTGCACGGCTCGGCCCCAGCAGCGGTGAGGGGAAGCTGCGACGTGGTTTCTCCCCCTGCTGAAGCCAGAGCACAGCTTTCTGAGCCTGGGGCAAGACAGCAAGGTTACAGGCAGCAGCAATGCTGACAGATAAGCAAGGAAAAGAAATCTTAAAAAAAGCAGAGCGGAGAGAAGGAAAAAGGAGATGGGCAGTGAAGGCACCCACAGGAACAAACCGCTCAGCAGCAAATTCAGGTGTATTTAAAGCAGCACGAAGAGAGAGAAAATAATTCATGCCCCACAAGCATGAGACTGACTGGAGCCTACTTCACCATGGAGCTCACAACTCCCAAACGTCCCCCAAGTTACCTAAGCAAGGCCCAGGAGAGGGACAACACTTACAGCTTTAGCAAAAACGACCATCAGCTCGGGGAACTGGTGCGTCAGGAGGGCAAGCATGGCCGAGAAGGAGCACAGGCCTGCTGTGAAATGGATGAAAAAGGGAAGTTCCTTCTGCGGGTAAACGGAGACGTCGTGAAATGCTGAAAGGGAAAAAGGAAGAATATTGACATCTGGTAATCAAGGGCAGTTTTCTGAACTGTTTACACAGTCTTGGAACTCGGTTCTAGGCTTTGAGAAGGAGCACGCGCAGACTGAAGACGCCCATGCAGCACGTAATAGAGCCCAGTGCTTAAACTGCTCAGAAAATTTTCCCCTACATTGAATGTTTGTCTTCATTATTAGCAGTCATCACATCCCTCTCTCCCCCATTTTCTTTTTCCCTTGCATGGGCTTTATATTTGAAGCATTTCATCAGGCTTGGGTTTTGGTATCTACTCTCTCACCAGGAGGGAGGGAAGGACTGCAAAACTCGCAGCCTGTCAAAACTACCTGGACCCATTTAAACATTTCAGACGCTTTCAACCCCCCGAAGCATTAATAACGTTACCTGAAGAGAACAGCAGATCTCTCCATCCCCTAAGCAGCCCAGCAAGTACAAAACAACCATCCCATTATATATACATGCAAGGCAGCTCCTTAATAATTTTCAAAGATTTCTGGCTGGTAGGCTACAGTAAATTTTTTCAGAACAGCTGACAGAGTAGACCTCAAAGAAAACAGTACCGGGACTAGGTTATAAATTCTGTACATAGCAGCTCCTTGCAATTTCCAATCTATGGTAACAAAACCAAAAGGCAGCGATTAGACAGGCCAAGGGCTCGCAGATGGAGCTTTCAGCACTCAAGACACTACGACTGGTTACTAGCTGAGGACCTGTTTGGGGAATTTACAGTTACTTACTGGCCCTGAAAATCTGCAGCTCTGACTCCTACCCCATGATTTTAAAGGTTTTTTAATGAAGAAATAAAATAGTTTCTATAGACGTAAGTAATCATGCAGGAAATTAAAATAAATTCAGAAGATGAGGACAACTAAAGATAATTCTGTGCTCACTGCCCTTTGAGAACGGTTACCAGTCAGATGAATACAGGACTTCTGAATCTCTGATTTGGTCAACATTATTTTACACAGATAAATTTAAAAAAACAGTCAAGATTTCTCAAGGAAGTACTGCAATAAAAGTGCTGAGATGATTTTATTTATGGGTAGTTTTATATTTAAAACATAACAGGAATGCGTGACTGATCGTGTTGAAATATCTGCATGTGTTGGTGTTTAATTATGCTGGAAAGTCTACAATTTAGGGTTAGTTGCTAACCAAGGAATTCCTTGTGCAATATCCTGCTTAAGTGAGAAATGAGTAATTTAAAGCAGTCTGGGGGCAAATTTAAATTACACATTTTAAATATAACTTTGGGCTTTTAAATAGAAACGTGTATGTGTAGTTTTCCTTTCCACAGCTGTGGTCTCAGCGGGTCTGCTGGTGCTTTTGCAGTAGCCCTTTCCAGTCCCATGGGACTTAGGTTTCCTCACGATGCAGAAGTGCACTCCCAAAGGAATTCTATTAACATGTGCAATTAACAGTCCAAATCTAGTCTAAACTAATGTTTTCCTAAATAAGGTGAGCGTGGGTCCTAGTGATTTAGTTTGTCTTACCTAAAGCAAAAACCATGGAGGCTCTTAATTGCACAAAGTAATCTTGAAATAACAGCTGCAGAAGACGTAACTTTCCAGCATCAAGGGTTATATGTGTATATATTATATATTAAATACCCACAGGGATAAAAAGCTCCAGGGAGCAGATAAAAACGTGCCAATGAATTAACGACAGAAAGCAACACACCTTCTGTGAAGCTATGGATTAAGCCAGGGCCCTCTGCAAGACCACAGACAGGTCCTGCCTGGTGCCCGAACGCGCGACTGGAACGACAGCTCAGTCCTTGCTGAAAGGCAAGTGCTCCTCTGCAACAGTCTGGCTTCTTTTAAAGGAGCAATTTAAACAACTGATCCAGGCTGTTGTTCTCGAGCTTGGTCTGAAGGCAGCACACACAGGCTTCCCTCTCTGAAGGACTTGCTCTGTTATTACAGAATCAAGCCAACGTTTACCACATGCACATGTCAAGTGCTTCAGGATCGGTTGGGGGGGACATCAACAAATACCTGAATCCCCTTCACAGGAAGCTCAAACTACAGAAAAAATCCCAGGAAGGTAAATACAGCATACCACAAGCTGAACATGTCCTCAGCTGATGTTTTATTATCAGCACTGCTTAGAAACCACTTACTTGGCAACAGTTCTCTGTCCGCTGTTTCTGTGCAGCTCGGGTAGGGATAGAAAAGGTGGCCTTTCTCTAACGGGTACGGGATCATCCGAAATGCTGAGAGAAGAGTGAGCGACATTCGATCAGTATCTAAACCGAGCAATCAGCTTCTCACAAAGAGAAGCAATCCCGTTTCAGGCGAATAAAGGCAGAGAGTCTACTGTGCAGGAAGAAACAAAGTCAGGAGAGACACTTACTGCCTTCCCATGTGCAGTGCAGCAGATTTAGAGCCCCTTCTATCCTCTTCCAGTGCTGGAGGTGAAAAAAAGCATACGCTACTGCCTCGCTGTCCCCTCGCTTCAGGATGTGCTCTGGAGGTAGCACTAAGCTCTTCATTTCTAGTAAATACTGAAAGGAAAAACAGCACGCTTGGTTACATGGGATGTTCCAAAATCTTTAATCGTAAAGCATAAACGATCATTTGAGACATCACTGAGGCCAACACACAACTTCCACCTGTTGAGAAAGAGCCCATCCCCACCCAGGGCAGCCAGCCTGCACCCCTCTGGGGAGTGAAAAGCAGCCAAACAAGTAACTGTGCATGACACTTAAACTGGGGTTTTCACACACCAAGTATAAGGAAAAAAAAACAAAACAGAACATCTTCAAAAATAAAAATACATTCTTGCGGAATGTGCAAAAAGCGTACCACCACCGCTATACTACCAAGTTTAGGCTAACAAAAAAACCAAGCCAACATTTTTTTTTGCTCCTCATTTCATCACTGAAAGTTTCAATGTAGGTGGCGGAGTTCTTGTTGGCTCTCAAGTGTGAGTTGCAAACCATCAAGTGTCAGTATGCTAACCAAAGGAAGAATTACAAACCAAACCCAGGGAAATCTGGTTTTAATGTGGTTTTGCTGGATGACCACAAAGTATCTCTGATTTCAGATTTTTTCGATTTCAGCCTTCTCCCTACACCAGTGGAGTATCTGATGCAGAGCACAGAAGGGTCAAAGAGCACAAGGATTAATCATTTTCCATTTTCCTTGAAACACAGGACATGCAATTTTGTTTTCTCATGGTGCATTAAAAAAGACAGGTATTCATTTGAACTTAGCTTTTAAAGCAGATGAGTAATTTTTACAAGAATGAAATGACAGTTTCAGCTCTAGCCTCTACCTGTGAGTTGTCCTCCCCTGGCATATAGTGTCGCATCCAATAACAGCCAAAGCTAATCCACACCTTTGATCAACGTAGCCGGCAATTCCTTTCACTGTCTCCCAAAGTGTAAGAATGCAGCTAACTCGCCGATTTATTTCAGCAGATGCCACAAACTATGAGATTATTTACTAATCCCGTTTGAGGACTTAACTTTTCCCATTCAGATTCTTGAAGGAATGTAGGAGGGGTTGTGCCCCGGCCAAATAAAGCACATTTACTGCCTGGCTAGGTCCTTCTCCGAGTGCCTTGGGCCTACGCTCCGGAGGGTAATATTCTTGCTAATCCTCCCTAATCCTCTTCGATTTTTTTTCCCCCCCAATTTTTTTTTTTAAACACAGTAAAGGATCACTCACACAGGGGCTGCTGTGGGAAAACGGTCTCAAATATCTGACCCCTGACCTGACTCCTCACGCGCTGCGCAGCGCCCAACAGCGAGGGCGGCACCAGCGGGGTAGCCCCACCGCGCGTCCGTGGGACGGCTGTTCCCTACGGCACCAAACGTGGTCACAGAGCCCTAATTTAAATGGCTTCCAAGTGCCGTTTTTCTAAAATAAAACTCCTTCCTAATTTTCCAAACCAAACCCACTCTTGTGAAAGCATAACTCAAAGAGACGCAAACGTTATTTTATTTTCCTTGTGCAAAACGCAGTTACATGCAAAGACAACCGCTTGCATGAGATGCAAGAATGAAGGGATTTCTACTTTACGCACTCGTTTATTTTCAGCCCATGGGACAGACAAGACTGCAAATTCCAAACCCCGATTCCTCCCCGGCAACCCAAGGAGAAAGCTGCTGCACTCGTCTGCGCCCTCGTTCACTTGTTTGCAGGGACTGAGCATCTCGGAGCCCTGAACAACGAACACCAATGAAATTCTGCCCTGTCATCTCACAAATCGGTGTTTCAAGGCAATACTGTAATTAAAAAAAATCATGAAGAAGGCTGGATGGACACACAGTGACAGGAGAAGATTGAATTAATGCGACCTGCAATCAGTTTCCGTGGCTGGCTGCAGGACTAAAGGACACATTTTGCAAACAGCCTGGCTGAAATGCTATCTAACTTCTTTACAAAGGTACGTGAGGCTCCTGAAATAACTGAAGGATACACAAAATAAAAGAACTTTTAGGTAATGATAATGCGTTATAATCTTCTTCCCCTAAAGGCAGAGGCTAAAGCAAAATCTGTCTGAGACTGTCTGAAATGAACTTGCTGCGCTCTTGATCAGTCATGCAAACAAGCAGCAATTTCTGCCAGCAATTAGCTCTCTGGGTGCACATTCTATTGGATTGGACAGGCAGACAGAGCCCAGCGGCCGGATAATTCGAGCCTTCACAGCCACAGCCACCGGGACTCCACGATCATTTGCAGAGGATTAGGCCCAGCGCTAAGCCAGCCTTCTGCAGTCAAGGTCCCAAACCGAAAGCAGCACCAGCTCTGGGACAGGGAAAAGCAGCGCAAGGTTTTCCTTTCGCCCAGCGCTCGGTGCAGTCTGACTCTCGGCCATCATCACCTGTTGCAAACAACTAATTCTGGCCACAAACATTACGACTTAAGCCCTAGTGGGTTTAACAACTCAAAGGCTGGAGTTATAACCAACTTCCAGAAAACATGGCGCTAGAAAGGCTCCAGTAACAAGGGGACAACATAAAACATGACTTTTTTCAGAAGACAGTAAAAAGTGGTCCAATAGGAAATAAAATCCTCTTACCTTTGGAACATGAGGGTTAAACTCCACAGCTCTGTGAATTGCTTCCACAGCGTTGATTTCTGCTGTACTAAGCCCTCTTTTGGAGGCAGTTTCTGGGGAGAATCTGAAGGGAAAAACTCACACTGACCAAAAGCAATAAATAATAAATGCTAACCGGGTGTCAAGTGAAATGCCAACATCAACTGCCCCAGACATCCTGCACCCAACCCACAGAACAACCAATCGCTGAACAACACAAGCGAGATACTGAAAATTATTTGATACCAAAGCACACGGGGGTACAGGGCTCCCAAAAACATCTTCACCCCATTCACTTCATGGATGCTTCAAAGAAACTTCAACCTGCATTTAACTACACACACATGTATCTACGGAAACAGAAATAATAAACCTAACTTGCTTTTAGAAATAGAACTGTTACATACTAGATCTAGACCTCTAATTCGTGTTTTACAGCACAGCCCAAGATTAGCAACAAACCACCGTTTTCACAACCGTGCTTGCTCACCTTTCTGAAACAGCTCTGGCTTTTAGCAGGGCTGCTGTGTAACAGATCGCTGCTGATTTTGGAAGACTGATATCTACGATAAAACAAAATAATTAAGCTGTAAGATTCCTAAGGCAAGACAAACATTTTCAGCCCACATCCTTTAAGCTTACAGATATCTACTTGGGTGTACCAGACAATGAATGTAACATCTGGAACATTTCAGCTACGATTAGAAACTCTGAATTTCTTTGCACAGTCTTCTGTCTGGTCACCAGTCAGCCGCGGATTAAAAACTCACAGTTGTAGTGAAGTGGTAAAGAGTAATTTTTTCTTCTAAACATACCAAGAGACCGACACTGAATTCAAAGAGATCCACATATGTAACTCCACACTTGAGAACAGTGTACTTCTGTATTAACCCATGAAGGTTTAAAACAAGCTTCTAATCTTTACCTAATTTTGCAACTGCACACACACCCAGAGTTTTATATGAGGCCGAAAGAGTGACTGACTAGAAGCTGACCGAAAAAGATCACACTACAGACAGGCAGACAGACTTTAACGAAAATGCAACTTCAACTATTTCCCAGCTCCACAGGGAAAAATTCTTTTAGTTGTAGGTTTTGTAGAACATCCGAGGCCAAGTTTGAGCTGACAATTACAGATTAGAAGGTTAACACTCCACAGTACAAGTTTACTTTAAAAGCAGACAAAGTCTGGGGTCTAATTCCCAAGTACCATGTTGTGTATAGTCAGATGGCTCTTGCTTTTTTTGTAAATCCCATCCTGGGCTTGTCCATCACTTAATAGAAGTCTGGCTGTCGTGTCAAGCAAAACACAGGGGCGCTACAGAGAGTTTGAAGCTCACACTCGTTTTTCCAGATGCTGAGAAAAAAATCAGCAACGCTTTAAGAAAGCGTCACCATTCCTGATGTTAACAAAAAGAAGCACCAGGAGAAGAGCAAACAGCTTTCTTAATTTACTAAGAGCCCACATAGAAGAACGCAGATGGTGGAAGCCACAGGAGCAGGCTGCAAGGATGGCCGTGCGCAAGGGGCACGGCATTTGGGCAAGAATATCACACTTTTGATTCCCTGAATCACTGAAGAACAGACACGAGGGAACACACTGGCTTCTCGAGGGCAGAGAACGATTGCCACAAACCCTGCTTCCGCGTCCCCCTGCTCGCAGGTGATTGAAGGGACAGCTTCGACAGCTGCCCACTGTGATGTGGGCATTATCTAGGTGGCAAAACACTAGTAAGTGTGCATTTTATTAACCGTTATCTAGACTTGCACAACACTTGAAACATATTAGTTGAGGTGGAAAGTGAAGGCAAAGGATGGCCAGTTAACGGCCCAAAGCTCCTCATCACTGGCACGGAGAATGCTTCCGCGCTGCTAATCCCCGGCGAGCAACCTCGGTACTACAGAATCACGAGGCCAAGTCTGCAAGATGACAGAAGGAAAAACTACCTTTTCCATCTCATTTACATCAACTACTTAGGGGCATATGTGCTGACTGAAAAACGCTGATGAATTTAGGCATAACCAGGGATGCAGAAGAGATTAAAAAATTAAAATAATCCTTGAATTGAAGCAAAGCGAGCTCCAAGGTTTCTTTACAGATTAGAAGTAACTTCGAAACATAAAAAGTAATTTGTATGCAATTTAGCTTGCCTGGATTCGACCTCATCATTCAAAAGAAAAACCCTGACTTACACTCTGGAAGGGCCCACTTGTTGCCGCCAAAGGGAACGCAGCCGACCAGCTGGGATCGCGGGCAGACAGCTGCTGCTGGCCAGGCTCACCCTGCCCACCTCACTCACACTCAGACAACAGCCCCAGTATCTCCCAGCAGGCAGATCTCTTACCGTCGTACTTGGCTAGAACCGCCTGGACATCTGCGTAAGCCTGTAACTCCAGCAGCGCCTCCAGAAGGTTCTCATGAATATTCAGCATGCTGAGAAGTGGAAACTCTTTCATCAGCTGCAAGTCAGGAAAGAGAAATAAATCAAGCACATAGAGAATTGCTCTCAAATCCCTGAAATCCGTAGAAATCAGTACAATAATTAAAGTTATCGCAGTGTTCTCCTCTTTCACAGTGGCAGAAGCTGGCACGTAAGCAGTGTGCACAGAATGGCATCATTTTTACCTTTCTGCCCTAGACCCACCTACTGGGATAAAAGCTGCTGAGGTTCATAAAACGCGCCCTCAGCCCAAATTTGCACAACTCCCACCGTGAGCTGGTTTGGTCAGTAATATTTTCCTAGGGGCAAGTGAAAGAAGAATGGTGATGAAATCTGAAGTTGGCTATTTTGACAAGTCAGTCACTGAGTCAAGCAGGAAGCAAAGCTCACAACAGAACTGAGAAGGTACATATATGAATCAAAAAAAAGTTCTGAAAAAGACATGAATCATGATAGGCAAGTTTCCTTGGAAAATAATTCTATTAGATTAATTATGACGCCTAGAAAGGAACATTAAACCATTCACTAGGATAATGTCACTGAAAACAAGAGTTGCTCTCTTTTTTATTTTTACTTACATCTCTCATCATTTTTACTGCTTCTCGTATTCTTCCCAGTTTCCTTGCACACATGGCTAGTCTCCTTTTCACATATACCAATACATTGGTGTCTCTTCCTGATTACAAAGACACACAAAAAAATTAGTCCAGCACTTTCAATCCTTACCTCTCCTTCCCTTTCCCTCAAAAAAATCCCACAAAACACCAAACCCAGTAAAAATCCCACCACCTTTCTCCTACCCACACATAAAAGCATAAAACCATTACTACTGCTGTCCCAACCTAGACTCATCTAGACCAACGCTAGCAACCTTAAAAATGACCTGAAAAATCCTGGGTTTTTTCCAAAATGTTGGGCAGAATACAAGAAGGTGCTACTGATTCACACCAATTGCTTCATTAGGCTGCTTTGCTTCTCCACACCCGAAGCAACAACGTCCTGAGCCTCGGTCAGACAGCCCAGGACAGCCCCTCAGCGCAGGTGCCACAAGCACGGCTGGAACAGCAGGAACCGCCTCCCTGCCTTGGGAATCCAACCAGAACCACTACTGACAGCTTTAGTCCCACATTTCTGCTCAAACAAAACCCAGAGTTTACATGATTCAGGAGTCCTTACTCAGCTGTGCTTCATGCTGGGGGCTTTGGGCATGGCAGTTCTGAGACTTCCTGTAAATCATTTCTCCTGCTTTCAGAGCCTGCTTGAAATACTTCTCAGCATCTACAATAGTTGTTGCTTCTTCCTCAGCCAGGAGGACATATGCAGTGGCACAGCTGCAATAAAGGAAAAAAAAAAATCACTAATTATTCCAAGGGGCAGAGTTTACTATGTTAAATAAGTGTTAAAAGCATTAGAAATGGGCGGTCTTCACTTATGTTTAAAATCTAAGCACTGACAACATAACTACCAAAACACTGACTTGAGTTCAGCTGGTGAGTGCCAGGGAAACAGGAACCTTTTCCATTTTACAGAACACACACACACATTTGGAGAAAGAACAAAAGAAAGAATTGGAACTGCGAGTCAATATTTTCCTTGAAGTATTAAAAATGCTCTGGCAATTGTCTGGAGAGGCGTTTTCTGTTTGCTTTGCTTTTTTAAAACCAGGAGGAAGACGTTTTACACAAAACCAGGGAGACTACAAAGCAAAAGGGGCCACGGAAGTGCGTGAAATTCTTTGGTTTGGGTGAGAAGACTATTTTTAAATCCCTTGGGGGAGTGGCACCTGCGAGCTCCAAATACAGTATCACCACAATGTGCCATTTGGACTCTTCCACACCTGAACAAAACTTCTCATTTGTTATTGCTACCGATACAAAGATTTTTTTAAAAAAATCCTTCCCAAAGGAGAACAAAAGCCATTTTTTTATAGAACAGCTCAACACTTCATCACAACTGACAACGCCATGTGCAGTTCTCAGTCACCAAAGTCCCCTATTTGGAACTTTGCTAAAAGTAAATGATTAGAAGCAGAAGGTGACAGCCTGCTCGGCATCACTGCATCTCTCACACCAGAAATACAGCAATTGAGCTCATCCTCTGAACTTACTCATTGTTCAACTCCAAAGCTTGATACGCTGCTTTAATCCGGGCTTGGGGGTTTCTCTCTCGCCATGCTTTCTGCATAACTGGTACAAAAACAGGGAAAGGCCGGTGAGGGACAGAGACACAGGCGGAAAAGCTGGGAGCTGCCCAGGCCTCAGCTCCACATGAACACTCTCTTCCACTGGCAAATTCCTGTTTGCTAGAGGGTTGTTAGAGGGAAGCGTTTTAATTCCAGCGTTTCTACAACAACCAGCAGAATCTTGCAACTTCTCATCAAGTCCCAAATTTCATTTAAGAAAGCAACACCGCCAGGAAGATTATTCACTGACCATTGAAGACCTCCTACGCTGAGGAGCACGGGCAGCTTACATAACCAGGCAGATGTACAGTTTCTAAATTGCTACAGATTTTTGAAACATCTTCCAAGACATGCCAAAAGCTTGGCAGAAGCAACTGATAAACACAGGTTCTTGCACAGACCTGCACAGAATTTTAACCGAAGCTTTCAAACAGCGCTTCAAAGAAAACAATGCCAGAGAAAGCTGTGCCTTGCACGCACCTAAGGCTCATACTTAAATACCTCAGGCAACTACCAGATCATAAAGGGTTAAACAATTTCGCTTTAAATTTACAAAGCTCGTTCGGGTGGCATAACATGACAAAGGCAGTTCAAGACATCCTGCCTTGTTAGACAGTGTTCCAGGAAACGATTTTCATCCATTCGGAGGGGTCGCCCGAATTACAACTCGTCTGCACAGATGCGGTCCCACAGGGAGCGCGCAGGGTCGCTGCAAGGGCTCTCGGCTCCTCCCCGCTGCGCTTCCCTTGAAAACGCCAAATTGAAAAGCAACTTCTAGCAAAAGAGAAACAACATACTTGGAGCCACCATCTTCTGTGCAGAGCTAAGAGCTTCCACACCAAAGAACAGCTCTGACAGAATCCAAACCTTCCACTCACGGAGTTAGGTATCTGGCCTATCTCAAGTACGATAAGAAAACCGAAGGATCTATACATGTTTCTTTTGGAACAAAACCTTCTACTGTCCAGCAAGAATAACGTGGAAAAACGTTTGAGTTTTCTTTTGGAAACAAAATATTAGTCTTGGCTTAGCAAGCGAGACAATGCACTCCTTTCTGTGAAACAAAAACACATCGTTCACATCAAGCATGTCAGGGCCAGCCGACAGGGAACGCTTCCGGAACGTGACAAATGGACAATAGCTCGCGCTCGGCCTGACAATAACCAGGTAGGGAACGTTTTCTGCACTGAACATGTGGAACAACGAACAAAATCTGGCGCTGTGCTATTCATTACTAAGGTTTAAATGAGACCACATCCTTGGCTGTTGAGAATACAATCCAGGTTTTCAGTATCGTGCTGCTAATTATTTGAAAAGCGTGAGATCTTAAAACACGTCAGGATGCTGACAGCCTCAGAGTTAGTAGAGAAAGCACGTGTAAAAAACCATCTTCTCGCTAAATACATCTATTAAACCTCCTTATGAGAAAGGTTATTGTTTTGCAAAACATTTGACGTGACACCTTGCACCACCGTGAAGCGTATGGAAACCCCCCACTGGCCCCTCGACAGTCACACCCCGCACCCTGCGACCCCGGTACCTGTGTCCGAGGGCCGGAGGGCGTCTGTGTCACACGTGAAAAAGTTCTGATGATCTTGAGCAGACAAATTCATGTCATAGTACGTAAGAGGCTCCTTCCCCGTCACCCACATGTATCTTTAAGGGGAGAAATACCAGTCAGAGGCACTCTCAGTGAACAGCCACGCCGACACCAAGGGGGACGTCTGATGTGCCCGGCAGCTGAGGCCAGTGCTGAACGGTTCTATTCAAAGACTGCAGCTACTAACCACAAGTTACAAGTACTACTGGACCATAACCCATACAGGCTGTAAAGCTCCATAAAACCTGGGAACAGGCTTCCTAGGAAGCAGCCTTTCCTATGAAATAACACAGAGAGACTTACAATACAGCCCTATCAGTTTAGTAAAAGAGAGTTTAGGTTCAGGCTCACTGTCTCAAGCTCTGACTAAAGTTTTTCTCCTGCTTTACTCTTAAAAAGCCTGATGATGTTACCGTAATATTTGCATTCCTAACACTGAAACTGCCAAAGCTTGGAGAGATGATTGGCATCAATCACCCCCATAACCTTGCAGGTCTCGGCTGTCTCCTGACAGTACTAGTGCAAGCTCTGTGAAGAAGTCACGTGTATGTCCCTGGTTAATTTTAAAGACACGCAATGGAAACGGAGATATTTAATACCTGCTATACTCTGCCCCTCTGAAAAGATTGAGAGGATTTCTCCACACTTTGCACTCTGGGGGAAAAAAAAAAAAAAGTACTTTTAAAATTAAGGACACAGGAAATACTACCTTGACTTTAAAATGCAGCAATGCAAATGCAGTTGTACTTTCAAAAGCCGTTTTCATTTTATGGTTACACAACCTGAGCACAGTCATACAATCTTTTTCATAAATGCAGAGGCTAAGCCATTTAAAAGCCAGTCCACGCAAACCGGTGGCCTCACAGCACAAGGAAAGCTGCAGGGAGCCGGGGACAATCACCTGGCATGCTCTGCCTGCTCGGCTCACTCTCCCCGGCCGAGAAGGCGGCTGGGGCGGGGGGGCTGTTCTCCACGCCGCCGATGAGGGGCCTCAGGTGACTCACAGAAACCTGCTCAATGAAGGACGTGCCGTATTTTCGGAAATGCCACCACTCAAACACCTGTCACGGGGAGGAAAAAGCACCAGGAGTCTCTCTAGGCAACACCTTTCCAACATAAACATCAGAGACAGAAGAGCCAGTTGTTCACAGCCAGCACATCCTCCTGCAAAGGACCAGACAGAACTTATCTACACACAAATTAACGCTGGTGATTTGGTTTGGCCTGTCCTGTCCTGCAGGATCACACACATAACATGAAAAAGATTGAAACAAATTTTAGAACTTCTAAACACTTTCAAACAGTGCCTGCACAGGGAACCTGCACAGAGACCAGAACCTCAGGACAGGTGCAGCTTTTTAATTTCACAAAAATAATATAAAATAATACAACACAAGACAGACAGTTAGGCTGACATGTTCTGTCATTCAGAAAAGTCCAAAGAGAAAAGGCTGAATTGGCAGAAATCAAGGTCACTTTGGGTCAAAATCTCACCATCTCTCTCTCTGAAGATATTAAAAATACCTGCGTGTCACAAGGCCCCGAGCACGATGCCACACAGTCAGCCCTGGATCAACCTACCCGAGTACTTTCATTATTGCGCAGAAGGATGTGATGTTTGGACAAAGAGAGCTCTTTGGTAAGAAGCGTTACTACAAATGGCAGCTGGTCAATAACCGCTTTTTTCTCTTAGGAGCAACCTACGCAAAACGTCTCACAAGCGGAATCCATCCCCTTCTAGGCTTTCCTTAAATCCTTCAATCGGGACCCAAGCAACATTACTTAGAGCAAACAGTTTTTCTGACACATAAATAAGATTTCTTTTTTTTTTTTGGTGCCTACAAAAAGTCACCCATGAAACAGATTTTGCGCATTCTGGCAAACGGGTTTAACTGATGAGAAGAGGCATTTTCTGTATCTTTTAACACTGAAAATAAAGATTAACTCAGAAGATTTGTATGTAGTGCCACATTCTGCATCAGTTAGATGATCCTCAGTGCAGAACCCGCTGCAGCAGCAGAACTGGGGGTGCAGGTGTGCCCCACTCGCTTCACGCAAAGTCAGGCCTGTCCGTGTGCTCCTCCCTCTGAGGCCGAGCTCAATCACCGGCCCATCTGCTCACCAAAGCTGGTGAGAGAGGAGGACACGAGCACAAAAGCTGCCCCCCAAATTACCAGCTAAACCCTTAACCACCTTGTTTAGAAGGGATTCAGAAACCAAATCGCGGTGTTTTCTGAGAAGTCTGCAGAGTTTATAGGTATATTTTGCATTTCTAATGAAGCTATGTGCAGGCACACATATATGGATACGTACATATGGGCAGGTACCTCCTTAGGGCGAGCCCGAGTTTCTAAAACAGGTACAAGTTATTTTCCTTAGACACCCCACATATAGCAAGAGCAGGTACAACAACATCAGAGAAGATCCTAAACGACAAGTTCCTTCCTAGTGCAAAGGCACCCTCTAGAGTCCGACCAAGAAAAGCCGATTCCATTTACCCCTGGTGACAGCATCTCACAGGTGTTTAAAAGAATAAGAGTGGACTACTTACAAATATCAGTCCAGATATAAAAGACGAAGTCACTGTAAGGGCAAAGTAGAATTTCGGAGTCAAAGTGCTTAAGAACACAGTCACTGTTAAGAGAAACAAAACCGAAGGGTTAAACAGCAGAACTCAAAGACACAAACAGCTTTTTCTTAACCACCACCACATGAAATGTTATGCCAGCATGCAGCACAAGGCAGAGCTGGCAGCTCCACAGATGGTGCTACTTTTAGGCAGACTCCCTTCCATTGCACCATTTTCTGTTCATAAACACCTGTGACAGCGAATGAGGTGACAGACACAACCCACAAAACTCGGTGTAACTTTCTCCCACAAAGCTGCCAACGGCTTCAGCCACGCCACGGCTGGTGCCCGCAACGTCTTGCGTGGTTTTCACCTAAACCGGCGAGGCGCTGCTCC